TATGAACCATTGATGCAATTCATGGTTGGAAAGGATCCTATACCTCGTATTCAAGTAGAAAACTGCTTGTTTCAACTTCCACCTGGCCAACGTGCCCACGAAATGCCGGACAAAGTGAATGAGTGGATGAAGTTTTTACATGAACTCTGTGAAAATTTTGACACATTTTTCGGACAAGAACTACTAACGGCGCTTGAGTCACTAAATAATGAAGATTTTGGTGAGCTCTTTGACAATTTGGAACAGGGAATGAACAAAGTATATGAAAGTTTTTTAAAATGGATGTCCCCATGGATCCATTTACTATTATCAATCTGCCGTTTAGGTGGAAATTCTAGCCATGAATTCACGCGAGCATTTTATTATATTGTTTTGCAACAGTGGCTTTTGGAACCAACAGCGTGTGAAATAAACTTAGCACAACAATTACGCGACGATTTTGAGATAACTAATAATAGTTTTGGCCTTCGGGAAGAATTACTAAGTTCCTTAGAATTCAGGGACGAGTTCCAAAAATTTTGCCTTACTCCAAACTCTAAAATTTATGATTATCAATTATTATATAAATTCGTTAAAGAACGAATTTACTTCATAATAATCCACCAGCAGCAAGTGGAAGGGCTCTTCAACAAACTAGATCTGAAGACTCACCCCAACATGACGCAAGACCTGAAGCAATCAAAATTACACCTTTCGACCGGGGACGTCGATGAAGAAAATATTGCTTTAGAACATTCGAAAGTTCGTATAAACCGTAAAAAAGAGTCGGTAGGAACCGTACAAGACAGTGTGAAAACGCATGGGAAAGAAGAAGCGACCAAAGTGTTTTTAGACCTATGTAAAATTTAGAATCTTTGTTATATATTATGTAATTAGTATGTACTGTAGTAAAAAAGATTTATCAAATATAAAATCAAAAATCGACGATCATCTCAAAAAAAAAAAATCTAATAGTAAATTTAATATAAGACTATACATATATTTGATCTACATAGTACATTGGATACCCCA